TAAAAAAAAAAAAAAAGAAAGTAGAAAAAAAAATTGAGTTGAAGCTGTGTTTGTGACCAGGGCTAGCGTCTCAGGGGTGTTTGTGTGTGGTAGAGGCCCTGTGCCCCGCATAGGTGCTCGGGACGCTGGCTGCCACTGTGGTGGCACATCACAGGTGCCAGTGGGGTGGCGCGGCACCCTTCCCGCAGTAGGATTCCAGGATGTGGGCAGGACGGCAAGACCGGGGTGAACGCAGTCCCTGAGAAACACCCATATGCTCCTGGGCCCACGGCCGAGCGTGGCACGAAAGCAGGAAGGTGGAAGTGCACCGTGGCTGGAGGGTTTGCCTTTCAAAACCAGGTTCATCGCTCACATGGAGGATGAAATCACCTCGGGCCTGTCAGAGTGTCCCGAGAGCTCACCAACCCGGCTCAGGCTGCCTTAACCATGAGATGTCACCAGGCCCAAATCTGAGAGGAGCCCCGCGCTGGGGGCCACCCCCAGAGACGGAGCCAGGTGCCTGTCTGCTCAGTGCGCACTGTGTTGAAGTTTTCTGAAGCGGGGGGCGGAGGGCAGCCGTCACGCGGGGTGCCAAGTTGTGTGAGATCCACAAGGACTGCACCCCTGGGGTGGAGGCCGCTCGCATCCGTGGCTGCGTGACCCTCCCACAGAGGAGCGCGTCCACAGGGTCGGGGGGTGGGCTGGAGCCCCCGTGGCCCTGCAGACTGTGCGAGAGCTTTGCTGAGGCATCATTTACGACCCCCACGTGAACACCCCCCCCCCGCAACAATGGGGCCAACTGGAAACCCCGCGGCTGAGGCCAGGCTGCCGCGCTACACGCCGGGAGAGCACAGATGTCTGGCGGTCCTTCACAGCCTAACTAGCCTCAACTGCCAGCTGAGATGGAGAAAGCCGCTTGCAGAAAACACAACCACACCCGGGTGTACAGGGCTTCTTAACCGACTGCAGCAAGCTGAACAGTAGCCCCACACAGACCTCTCCCTGTACCCTGGGAACATGCAAGCATGCCCGTTTTTCCAAAAAGGGTCTTTGCAGATGTAATTAGGGATCTCAAGATCATCCTGGATTTAGGGTGGGCCCTGAATCCAGCGACAGGTGTCCCGATAAGGAGAGAAAGCCACATGAAGACAGAGATGGGTTTAGTTTTGTGAGTCACAAGCCAAGTTACAGCGAGAAGTACCAGCAGCCACTAGAAGCCAGAAAAGAAGCAAGGAATGCATCCTCCCTCGGAGCCTCCAGGAGGAACCAACCCTGCTGACAACTTTCTATCAGTTTTTTGACCTCTGGAACTTTGAGCGTAAGTTTGGGTTGTTTTAAGCCAAGTGGCAATTTGTTACGGAGGCCCTAGGACACGAATACACCCTGTCCTCCCGCAAGCCCCCTCAGCTGAAATCAGGGTGAGCTTGCCAGGACCTCCTGCACTCTATCAGAGCCGCCCCCACTCTCGCCTACCTGCGGGACCCCTATGCCCTCCTCGGCCATGAACGTGCACTAAGCAGATGACCTAATGAAAACACCGTTCTCGTTCTGACTCCAGGCTCAGTTCTTTCCATGACAACGGCCTCATACAGTGGGGGTCACATCGTCAGCCTGTCAGAAACTCTACAGAGAGACCGAGTCTGTGGGGCTGTGCAGTCCAAACACCTGTGGGAAGGAAATACATCCCGGGATGGGAGCAGGTCGCCCAACCACCCTGCAAGCCTGTCGTCTTCTCCCAGCCCTGGGGATGATCTTTCATTCAGAGGCCAGCTGTCAGGAGTTTCTGTAACCGGGGTTCCTCAGTTTACCCGTCACGGCAACTCAGGCCAGGAGCCCATCCCCTAGGCTTGTGCTGGGTCATCCTGTCCCTGATGAGAACAGATCTCTGCAGGCCAAGAGGGCGGCTCTCCGGCCCCTCCACAGAGCCGGCCCGTCACGGTCTCCTCCCGCGGGTCAGCTGTCAGCTGTCAGTCCCCTGGGTGTCCTGGAGCCAGTGCAGCACCTCCGCCAGGCCGGTGCCCTTGTGAGCGCTGACTGCCACTGTGCTGATGCTCTGCTTGGCACAGGCAATGATGTCTGGGAGTCTGATCAAGGACTTCATCTCCTCCACGGTCATGTAACAGGGCATATCACTACAGTGGAAGAAGCGCCCTGTCAAGGTGGGCTACCACAAGCCATCCCAACCCCCACTGGACCCCCCCCCATGAACCACCCTCCCGGCTACGCTCCAGGGAGCTCCTCGTGGGGGGGAGCACCCCCACACTCCTCCAGGATGACAAACCCGTACATTTTATTAAAGAGTATCAAGACCGACGCTTCTGCTAGTCCTTCCGCAGAAAGGAGACCCAGGAGTTGCACGCAGGAAGCAGACAGCTGAGTGGGGTTAGCCGCATCCATCATGAACTAGGGAAGAAGAAAATGCAGACCAGTGCCACCTGTGAGGGAGACAGTCCTTCCCAGACCCCCTTCCTTGGATATCATGACCTGGCTCAGAACAGCACAGTGACTTTGAAACAAAGGACTTTGGGGTCAGCAGAAGTAAAGGGAAATGAGCTGCACGAGAGTGACCTGCTGTCACTTGTTTCCACCCACACGGGTCTCTGCTGGCATGGCCATCCGTGCTCCCAGGAAGGGTCCTGGGCCTTGGGGCACAGGCCTTGCTAGGATGGGACAAGGTACGGAGAAGTCAAGCGTAAGAACCCACGCGTGAGAACATCTCAGAAAGCAAGCACATTACTGGCAGAGAAGAAATACTTCTGTCGGGAGCCCCGCATGAGCTTTCACGTCAGCTCTGGAACAGGAGCACTAGGGATCAAGCTGGATTCTCAAAAGGAAGTCCCTGACTAGCCCAGGAACCCAAACTCCAGCCTCTACGGAGTGAGGTCCAGCACTACACGACCCTAAACAAGTTCATGGGACCATGACCTACCAGGAGAGAACGGCAATTTCCATAGTAGCTGGGCCAGATGGGGCCCATGCACCCCCCCAGCTCCCGGATGGTAATCTTTCTTGGGACCACGATGTCAGTAAGGTCAGTGCCCACCTGTGAAAAAACCAGGACGCATTAAGGACACAAGCTCTTCCCCACTGGGAGCTCCTGGAGAGGAACGTGCACCGTCCTTTACACCGATCTAAACCCCAATACGCCCGTTCTCAAGGGCTTAGACCCTAAAGCACAACGCTAAGCACAGAAGGCTAAAGTGGCTTCCAAAGGTCCACACCCTAACCCTCAGAGCTGGCTGTGGCCGCAGCTCCAACACCCATCAGTGGGATTCGCCTCTGGGGCGACCAGAGAAAGCTGGGTGAAGAGCGTGAGGGGCGGGCGGCTCGGGGCCCCTGTCACGCACCCACGGCCACCGCAGCTCTGTCCCAGGAGGCAGGCTCCTTCCCGTGACACCCCGCTCACCTCCCGAGGGTTGCATTCACACACGGACCCGCCGCACTCCAGCTTCCACTTAAAACAACCCAAAGCGCTTTGCAAACCGTAAAAGGTACCCGCTTCTGCTAAGCCTGCGGGAGAGGGGCGGCCTACCGTGGGCCGCGTCGGGGGAGGATCGCCCAGATCGCCCTTCCCGTCCCCAGAGCTCAGCTGTGCGGGCAGTCAAGGATCCCGAGGCGGGCGGAGAACGCGGGCGGCGGCCAGACCCGCCCGGCACGCCCGGCACACCCAGCACCCCGCCCCCGGGACCCCAGCCCCGCTCCCCCGGGAGCATCCCGACGCCCGCACCGGTCCCCTGCCCCCCCGCCCGGCGCGGAAGGATATTCAGCAATCTTTTCACCAACAGCGTCTTCCCGACGCCCGAGGCCCCCAGCAGGAGACACATCACGGCTCCCGACTCCACCCGGCACCCGTAGCTCGGCGCAAGTCCCGCCCTCCACCCCGCTCTCATTGGACAGGGTCACGTCCGAGCTGTTCATTGGTTCTCGGCGCTCACCGCCGCAAAATGTGCAGCCTGCAGCCCAATCGGCGCACAGAGTCTGGGACGAGTGGAAAAGCCCGCCTCCTCGCGGCTCGCGGCTCGCGGCTCGCGGCCCGGCCCGGCCCGGCCCGGCGACGCGCGCGTGCGCGAGCCCGAGGGAAAGGCGGAAGCGGAAGTCGGGGGCGCGCCGGTTCGCAGCGGAGAGCGCAGCGGCGTCGGGTCGGGGTCCGGGGTCGCCATGGGGCGCGGCAGCGGCACCTTCGAGCGTCTCCTAGGTAACGCGGCCCCCGCCCCTCGCGGCTGGCCAGCGTCCCGGGAGCGGAGCCGGGGGGCGGCCGCGGAGCGACCCGGGCCCGGGGGCCCGGGGTGTGGGTGGGCGCGCCGGCGGTGTGGGGACCTGGCAGTCCGGGGCGCTGGGCGCGGGCTCCGACCCGAGTGGGTGAGGGTCCGCGGAGGGGCAGGGCCCGCGCTCACGGCGACCGTGCTCGAGGCTCTGCTCCTGTGCCGGGGCGGGCAGGTCCCCAGGGAAAGGATCGGCCCCCGGAGCCACAAGCATCTGACTGAGCCACGAGTCCTGAGTCACGGAAACGGGTGACCTAGTCAAATAGACCCCCTCCCCCAAAAAAGCTCTAGGTTGCAGGGGAACTGAGGGTGCCCCAAACTCTGGGCTCCAAAGGGTGGAACCAGTAGTGTCCTCCCGGGGACCTGCCAGGCTCTTTGAGCGCTGCTTCCGGGGGAGGCAGGCCAGCCCTGTGTCCCCAACTGGGCTCCGGGAAGGCCCCGGGGGTTTAGGGAGGTGGTTTTTCTGTTTGTCAGAGGTGGATAGCTGATGCTTTCTGGGCTTTCTGGAGGCCACCAACTTTAGTAAAAGAAAGGTGGATGTTTATGGGCATGTCCTCCACCCCCAGTGCTACTGGGTGGGCTCTGTGTTTGGGGTGGGTGCTCGGGGTGCTCCAGTGGTCGGTTTGAGCCTGCCCTGCTTTTTCCTTGAATGTGGTTTTGGAGGAGACCTCATATGAGGCACCTTCCTTGTTCTGAGAACATGCATGCCGAGGGGTGGTTCAGCCCTCCAAAGATCAATCCGGAAGCTACTACCAGATCAGCACTATGCGTGGATACACCTTATTAGACCCCCCGTGTGTCTCCAGGGAGGAGAGCCGGCATGGCTGGGGGAGCAGAGCATATTGTGTGTGTGAGGCAGCTGTGACGTACAGAGAGCACGGGTGTTATTGGAAGAATGTTTCTTGGAGGTCGTTCCTGGCTTCATCCCACAGAACACTTAGAGCAGAAGACTGGAGTCCAGGCTGCTCTTCTCCAGCCTTGCCCCCGCTGAGATCTCATCGGACAGGTTAAACGTGGGGAAAACCAGGGACTCAGGGACGAGGTGGCAGAGTGTAGTGTGAAACCCCGCCTGGCTTGGCCCGGCAAGCTGTGTGACTTTGGCAGCGACCTCACTGCTCCGCTTCACCGTCTTTGTCGTAAAGACGACAGGAATAGGACGTTGCTCAGGAGGTGGTTTAAGAACTCGGTGATCACGTAAAGTGTCTGGATCGAGTGCGCAGCGGGTAGCTGCTGTTAGTATTTTCTAAACTGTTTGCCTTTCTGGAAAGGATAGTACTCTCATGATTATTGGGCATCAAGAGGATTTTCATGGGGTTTTCCGTTCAATCCAAATGTTTTAAATGGGAATGTTGCTGAGCTGTGGGGCCAACCAGGGAATCACAGAGGACGGGCCCCAGTAATGGTGTGTTTTTGCCGTAGACAAAGCAACCAGCCAGCTTCTGCTGGAGACCGACTGGGAGTCCATCCTGCAGATCTGTGACCTCATCCGTCAGGGGGACACACAGTAAGTGAGGAGGGTCTGTGCCTGCTCAGAAGCAGGGGGGTGGCAGCATGGCACTCCCGGCTTCCTTGGTGCCCACTGATGCTCTAGGATCCCGCGGTATCCTGCCCTGATGGACGTCGACCACATTAGGCCTTAGGGGGAGAACTGAGCGGTCCTCACGCCGGGGTTTTGGGGATCTGGGGACAGGGAAAGTGTTCCTCTGCACTGCTCGGAGGTACTTAACATCTGCTTGGGGATTTTGAAGACCAGAGGGTGGCAGAGGTTTTCTCAGCTTCGCTTTTAATGTAATGTTTTTTTTTTCTCTTTTACCAATATTTCTTTTTTCAGAGCCAAATATGCCGTGAGTGCCATCAAAAAGAAAGTCAACGACAAGAATCCTCACGTGGCATTGTACGCCCTGGAGGTAACTAGATCCCTGCACTCTGGCCACCTCAAGGGTCGCTGCCCCAGTGTCCAGATGGCAGAGACAGCGTGACCCTGGGGCCTTGCCCACCTGCCTGGGGTGTGAGGGCAGGTAGGAGCAGCCCTGATGGAGGGCAGTGCCTCAGCTGCCCCACCTGAAGCTACAGACTCAGGGCCCTGAGGTTGACTCTGGTCTCTGTCCCTGGTGGTAAGAAATGGAGTTAGAAGAAGAAGGAGCACGTACAGCGCTGGTTGCATCCTGACTTAGAGCTGCCACGGGGACTCTCCTGATGGGCTAGGTTGCCCGAGGGGCCTGTCCAAGGCAGGTTAGCCCTGGCCAAACCAGGGGCTCAAGACTTCCCTTCCTTGGGTCCTGCAGGTCATGGAGTCTGTGGTGAAGAACTGCGGCCAGACTGTCCACGATGAGGTGGCCAACAAGCAGACCATGGAGGAGCTGAAGGAGCTGCTGAAGGTGGGCCCTTGGGGGGAGGCAGTGAGGCCCAGACAGTGGGGAGGGCACAGTTACCCCGAGGCTGTGCCTGTGCCTTTTTGGGGCTCTGCTGGCCCCAGAGGCAGTGGCAGGACCAGGCAGAACGAGCACAGGAAGGTGGGTGTTGGTGGTCCCCGAACCTCCCGAATCCCAGCTCGATGACGTCGGGGCTTTACCAGAAGCAAACCGGAGTGCTGTGCTGGGGACGCAGAGGAGACCCTGCTCTTCTCGGGGGGTCAGGGAAGGCTTCCCAGGGGCAGGGCTTGGAGTCTCACCAGGTTGTGGAGAAGGAGGGGGAGGAGCTGTGCGTGTGCGAGTGGCTGTGAGCAGAGGGTGTGGGCAGAGGCCTGGGGGGAGCCCCGAAGGGCGGCTGGGTGGGTCCCACATGCAGAGCCAGGATTCTGAGCCGGGAGATGTGTGAGTCTGACATGTTTATGGAGGGAGGTTGGGGGAACACGGCACAGCAGGGACACCTTGGGGAGTGGGTTTCACACCCTCCTTTTGTAGAGGGGGGCCAGTCCTCCAGAGCCCCGAGAAATAATGCTGCACAGGCCACCGTCCACGGCCCCACAGGCTGGCGCTGCCCACCTGCAGGGATTGTGATGTGGGTGGTGACACCAGCAGGTTGTGTGATGCAGAGAGGGTGGTACGGGGTGCACCCGTCCCACAGGGGTGAGGCAACCGGGGTGGTGGCCGAGGAGCGGAGCCCCAGACACTGTCTCTGCTACATTGGGGGGCGGGGCCACAGCTTCCTGGCCTGTGTGGGTGTCCGTGGCCTCACATGGCTGAGAGCCCCCCTGGGACCCGAGCTGGGCCCTGACTGGGGACCCTGCATCCAGGCTGAAAGAGCAGAGGAGTCAGATCCTTCACTTCTCATATCCAGCGATTGTGTCCTGTTTGTGCTGCATGTGGTCTAAGCCAGTTAGTCCCCCCTTGGAGAGAGAGGGTCACGATAGGACACGGATTACAGGAAAGAACCAGAAGCCTAGTGGGTGAGTCTAGTTGGCATCTCCACAGGGTAGCTTTCTCATCCTGCTGTCTTCCTGAGCATCCCCAGGAAAGCTCTAGGAATGTGACTGACGATGCTCTAAGCTGGCAGAAGTGGTGGCTCTGCATGTGGGGCAGCTCCTGGAGCGGCCGCCCCCTCGCCCCCCTGCCCCCGCCCACCGAGGCTGGCCGTGACCAGAGGAAAGGCGGCCAGCTGCACATCTGCTCCCTCAGCGTGGGTCTGGTGGGCACTACCTGATAGATCCTGGCATTTGCCAGAGCCACACCGGCTTACAGACTCAGGGGCCCCTGACACTGACTAAGCTCCTGGGGGCAGGGAAGGAAGAAGCAGGTGGTTATAGGGTAGTGGGCCTGGGGAACCGGGCTTCGGGGCTTCCCCAGTTTTTCCCAAGGCATTAAAGAAAAGTCAGGCCCTGAGTGGGCACACCGCTGTGACAAGTTTGTCCTCGGGGACCGGGCTTCATGGAGGAGGGCTGCGCCTGGGTAATGGGTCCATGCGTGGCCCCGGTGCCCCACGTGGGGGGCCCTCCCTGCCTCTGCCTGCCCCACGTGCTCAGAGTGCTGCGGTCTTCCTGCGGCTTCCTCATGCTGAGACATCTCTGGCCTTCATGTCTCCCGTTCTCCTTCTTCCTCCTTTCTGTGCAGAGGCAGGTGGAAGTAAACGTCCGAAACAAGATTCTGTATCTGATCCAGGCCTGGGCTCACGCCTTCCGGAACGAGCCCAAGTACAAGGTGGTCCAGGACACGTACCAGATCATGAAGGTGGAAGGTGCGTTGGGCAGGGGCTGTGTGTGCGCGCTGTGCGGGGCAGGGGGATAGCACCGTACTGCATGACCGGCGGCAGTGGGAGCCTGCTCAGGGCCCGGGAGCCGCTGCCTTTCCCGACCTCACGCCCAGTCAGGGCAGGACAGGGGCATGTGGTGGAGAACACACACGTGAAAAGCCTGAGCAGAGGAGCTAAGTCTGGAGTGTTGGGTCCTCGGAAGGAAGTAAAACCAGGGGACCTCGCCTCCTGGGGGCTGATTTAGCACGAGGGGTGGGAGGAGGCCTGGAGAGCAGGCAGCCCGTGTGCCAGACCTGAACGTGTAAACAAGCCAGCATCCTGTGGAGGACTTTGTTCCGAGGCCCCGGGGCCGTCACAGACCAGGGACAAGGCACAGGAGGGGCCAGCCTGCCAGAGTGGCTCAGCGGGAGCTAGGGTACCCCGAGGACGGCGGGAAATCCTGGGAGGGCTGCAGCAGGGCTGTGACAGCGGGGGGACCTTTTCAAGGCTTCCTCTGTGCTCCTAGCTGCTACAGCGGCCACACAGATCTGCTGGGGCTTGGCGAGGACAGTGGACTCAGACTGTAGTGCTCACACTGGGCAGTTGTGGGGGTGCTGGGTCAACCCCCACCTGTGCGGAGGCCCTGAAATGAGGTGTGGAGCAGGGGTGGCGTCTGGTGGCTACGGGTGGGTCCGACCCCGTGGAGACTGTGGTGAAGGTTCTGTCCATGTCGGTGAGCTGGCCTCAGGCCCTCAATCCTGGACGTTGGACGTGGGATGGCGGGTGTATGTTCGCACTTTCCTGGGGAGACAGCCTGAAGCTTCATGGAATCCTCAAGGGACCCGTGTCTCCAAAAAGCGTGGGAAGCTGTTTTAAGAGTCCTGAGAGGTACAGTTGGCTGGGGTGTGGGGCCAGGAGCCGGACAGCAGGTCCAGGGAAGATCTGTGAGGCCTCGATGTGGTGCGAATGAGGCCTGGCCCCATGCTCTGGGATGGGGCGGCCAGCTCACGCATCCGGACGCCTTCGCCTGGTGCCGGGTCACTGCGCTTGCTGCCCAGGGGCTCTGGGCCTCCTTTTGAGGGTGTGCTTGGGGAGGTGGCTGCCCAGAGCTAGGACGTGGCTTCTGAAGGTCTCGGGGCAGACTGGGCAAGGACAGCTGAGGCTGTCAGGGCCCCGCATACCAGTGTGGCACCAGTAGTGACCATGGTCTCTTTTCTCCAGGACACGTCTTCCCGGAGTTCAAGGAGAGTGATGCCATGTTTGCCGCAGAGAGAGTGAGTTCGGGGGGTGCGGCCCATCTAGGGTTTTGGTGGCTTTTTTTTTTTTTTTTTTTTTTAAGTTTATCTAAGTAATCTGTACAGCCAACATGGGGCTCAAACTCACGACCCCGAGTTCGAGAGCCACAGGCTCTTCCAACCGAGCCGGCCGGGCGCCCCGGGAGTTCGGCTGATTTGAGGAAGCAGAAGGGAAGTCCCAGGGTCCCAGCTTGTAGGGAACATCGGTGGGTGAGCTGCCATTTTGTCTCAAAAACAACATGTGTGGGATGTGCAGCCATGCCTCCGGGGTCTCAATTTGGAACGCAGCTCAAGGTCCCTTTGTGCTGTGGCTGACGGGTTTGTGTAGTTAAGACAAATACCGACCCCGAGCTGCAGGGGGTCAGAAAGGAGAGTCTGTTTGGGGTGGGCTCCTGCCTCGCATCTATAGACTGGGACCTCAGCCCCTGAGCCCACACTGGGGTCTTGTCCCCTTCGTGGGAAACAGGGATCTTGGCCGGGAAGGTGGGGGCCGTGTGATCCTGACTCTTCCTGCCCCCCAGGCCCCCGACTGGGTGGATGCTGAGGAGTGCCACCGCTGCAGAGTGCAGTTTGGGGTGGTGACACGCAAGGTGAGTGTACCTGCCACAGGGCTGACTCCACCCCACCCCCGGCTGTCCCCAGGAGGCCACTGAACCCACTCAGGATCCTTTTTCTCTTGGCTGTGGCCTCATGGTGCAAGGAGCAGTTCCAGCTCCCAGCTCCGTGGTGAGCGGGGTCATCAAGGGGTCCCAAGCCCGGTGGTCTGTGCCGTCCGACGAAGCTTGGGCGCGGCTGTGCCCCCCTGGGGACAGGAATGCTGCAGGCTTGGGGCTGTGGGAGGCTCGGGTGTGTGTTGCCTGGGCCCACAGCCCCCTGGCTGCCTCTCGAGGCTACCAGCCTGTGCGCTCCGGCCCTCGAGCCACTGTGTCTCTCCCTCCGGAAGCACAGACCACGATGGTGGAGGCTGAGGCCAGGGCTTCTGAGCAGACTCACTGGACCACTGTCAGCACAACCTTTTCTCTCCCAGCAACTCATGTGTGATTCTTAGGAACTTTTCTTTTTAATTTGAGTTTTTTCCCCCCAAACGGTGGTTGCAGTTGAGAACCTGGAAACGTGCCATTTCCCTAGGGTCTTTGTGGCCTCCCAGGCCTGCCCTCTGCTCACCCTGGGAGGCCCGGCCTGGCGCCCTCTGCAGCGGGCAGTAGTGGGCAGGGTGGGCGCAAGGGGTCAGCGGCCCAGCACCAGGCCACACCCTGACCCGCTCCATGTCACAGCACCACTGCCGGGCGTGTGGTCAGATTTTCTGCGGCAAGTGCTCCTCCAAGTACTCCACCATCCCCAAGTTTGGCATCGAGAAGGAGGTGCGCGTGTGCGAGCCCTGCTATGAGCAGCTGAACAAGTGAGTTCCCTGCTGGGTGCCCTGGGGGCCCGGGTGTGCTCCCTGAAGCGGGGCTGCTTCTCCTGGCCGTCCAGGAGCAGGACTGGGACCTGCCAGCCAGTTGCTTGGGTTTGTTCTTTGGTTTGTCTACTTTTTAACTTGGAAGTAAAACTTAGAGAAAAGATGCAGGTGTGGGAAGCAGAGCCTGCAGGGTGCGGCCTCCTCCCAGGTCCCTCGGTGTTGACACGGCCTTGTGGGCGATTGGGCTCAAGCGCGTGGCCTCCCTTCCCCGTCCGCACTGGTGTTCCCGCATGTCTTGTTCATTCCGAAGCTCTGAGAGTGAGCTGCAGGTACCCTGTCCCCGAACCGCCCCCGTGTGCGTTTCCCAAGAAGTGTGTCCTCCTGAGAGCACAGCAGAGCCGTCCGCCCAGGACACGTGACGTCCGCTCCGGCGAGTCCTGGTCACGTCTTGCGGCAGTGGTGCCCCCGTCAGACCCGCCCAGGCCCCCAGCACAGGGCAGGTGGCTGTCACACGTCCTGCACTCCGTGACCCAGATCTCCGTGCAGCCTCTTTGTCCCGACATGGGCGGTTCTCAAGGGCCTGGGCTGGTGTGGTGCCCCCCTTGGTTCGGGTCTGAGGCCTTGTGGTTCGTCAGGTTGTGTGATTCCCGGGATGAGGCTGTCCCGCTCCGTGCGGCCGCTTTGGGGGCCCGTGCTGTCCGGCTCCCAGTGTCAGCAGTGGGAGCTCATCCGTCCGTTAGGTGGTGCCTCCAGGCCGCTCCCCTGGAAAGTTCCTTTCCCGTGTTCGAACCTCATTTCCAGGAGAGGGGGCTGGGGCTTAGGCCAGGTGACCTGCCTGGGGTCCCGCGTCCCAGAGGTGACAGAGCTGGTCCGAGGGGCCAGTTTTTCTCCAGAGTGTGGCCTGTGGCACCACTGTCGTCATTCCGTGGGGATGCTGGGGGCCGGGGGATGGTGCTCAGCCACCCAGTGTCCTCTCGCCTCCAGGAAAGCAGAAGGAAAGGCGTCGTCCACAACGGAGCTGCCCCCGGAGTACCTGACCAGCCCCCTGTCACAGCAATCCCAGGTACTCGCCCCGGGTCCCTGGGGGTGCCTCGTCCCCAGGCCCTGCTCACAGCCTTTCTGTTCCTAGTTGCCCCCCAAGCGGGATGAGACGGCCCTGCAGGAGGAGGAGGACCTGCAGCTGGCCCTGGCTCTGTCACAGTCAGAAGCCGAGGAGAAGGAGAGGATGGTGAGCTGGAGGGGGGCTCCCCCGGTGCAGGGGCACTGGGCTTGGGGGGTGCCCCTAGATGTTTGGGGAGGGCAGAGGGGTGTGGTAGGTCGGCCCACCTGCACTGGGACCCTTGCTGCCTCTCCCGCAGAGACAGAAGTCAGCGTATGCTGCTGCCACGTACCCCAAGGCAGAGCCCGCGCCCGTGGCCTCGTCGGCGCCCCCGGCCGGCAGCCTGTACTCCTCGCCTGTGGTGAGCACCCTCCCAGGCTGGGCCGTGCTTCGCTGTGGGAGGGTGGGAGGGCTGCCCCAGAAGGGATGGCCTGATGAAGCTGATGAAGGTCAAAGTCCAGCCTGATCCTCCCCAGCCCTCCGCTCCAGGTCGGGGTCCTCTGTCGGGGAAGATGACGCTGGGAAGGTTGGAGACCTCCCCAGAGTGAGAGGAGGTGGGCAGACCCTGGGCTCGAAGGTAGCCTGCCTTTTTCTGGCCTTGGCCCTCTCTGTAAATAAGGTGGTGGGTGGCAGGTGAGACAGAAAGTTTAGGAAATCATGGCGAGCTCTGCGGTGCTCTGGGTGGGGCTGGGTGGCTGAGGGCCTAAGAACAGTCCACCGTTGGGACCAGCGGTGTGGTTGCTAGGAAGGCTGGCGGGATACTGCCCTGCGCCTTGTTCAGTCACAGAGCCCCGGGGACCCCTTGGGCAGACCGGCCAGTGCCTGGGGTCCACTGTCACCATGGTGGCGTCCCAGCCTCCCGAGCGACGGCCTGGGAGGAGCTGGGCACGTGTTTGAGCCCATGGGTCACTGCTGCTCTGGTCTGTGTCTCCCCAGACTTCGTCGGCGCCGCTGGCAGAGGACATCGACCCCGAGGTGAGGGTGCCCCCACGTGCAGTGCTTTTCCTTGCTGCTCCCTGGCCCTTGCGAGTGACCCTTGTTGTGTGCACAGCTCGCCCGGTACCTCAACCGGAACTATTGGGAGAAAAAGCAGGAGGAGGCCCGCAAGAGCCCTACCCCGTCCGCACCCGCGCCCCTGACGGAGCCGGCCGCCCCGCCCGTGGAGGGGCATGCAGTCCCCGCCAACGCGCTGGAGGTGCACTGCTCTTAGCACTCCTGTGGCCCACAGGCCTGTTGGAGGTGGGGGGGCCTGGGATAGGCCGGATGACTCCCTCACCCTCTCTCTCCTCTTCCAGTCTCCCCTCCCGGAGACAGACTCTCAGCCCATAGCTCCCTCCGGCGGCCCCTTCGGCGAGGTAAGCTGTGGTTCCCTCACGGGCCCCACACAGGCAGCTCTCCTGATGGGGCTGAGCCCTGCCCACAGCGACCTCCCAGGGGCAAGCCATTCCAGCCCAGAACTCTCGATGGAACATCTCTGGGTTGGCTGGCTGTGGTCCAGAACTTGGCCACTTGCTGCCTAGAATGGATTGGAATATCCTAGGGCATAGCCCAGAATCACCTGGATGAGTCCTTGTTCTGTCCTGGGGCTTCTGGGTTCTGTTGGTCATTGGACCGAGAGACTGAGGCCTCTTTCAGGGAGGCAGGTCCCCTACAGGGTAGGGGCAGAGGGGCTGCGAGCCAGGCCGCCCGAGCTCCAGCCAGCTCTGTCCTGGCCAGCACCACACCCACGTGCAAGAGTTAAGCCTCCTCGGGCCTCAGTGTTAGCATTTGTCAGAGGGAGTGCTAAGGGTGCCCCCTCATAGCACCACTGGGAGGATCGAGTCCTGCACAGCAAGCTGAGAGCTCAGGGCCTGGAGTGCTCCGCAAGAGCCCCCACCTGTCCCCAGCAGCAGTACCAGAACGGGGAGTCGGAGGAGAACCACGCGCAGTTCCTGAAGGCCCTGCAGAATGCCGTCACCACCTTCGTCAACCGCATGAAGAGCAACCACGTGCGGGGCCGCAGTATCACCAATGACTCGGCAGTGCTGTCCCTCTTCCAGTCCATCAACAGCATGCACCCCCAGCTGCTGGAACTGCTCAACCAACTGGACGAGCGCAGGCGTAGGTGCCGCAGGGCACGGGGGGGCCCCTCGGCGTGGTGTCGTGTGAGCGCTGTGTGCTGGCTGCTCGCTGTGGGCATGCAGAAGGTCCTCGGGTGGGACTACCCCGAAGGCAGCAGCTTCTCGAGAGTCCCTCTCTGGGCCGCGGGCAACACGGGGGGTGGTCCCTGCGATGAGAAATGTCCCACTAAGCATAGGACCATCAGCTCCAGGAAGAATCCCACCCCCAGCCCTGACCCTGGGAGCCCAGATGCCAGCCGTGCCCTGCGGACAGGCACTTGGCTGGGTCAAGGCAGGCCTGGTGGCCAGAGCCCGGCACTGGGCAGCCAGTGCTTCCCTCCCACGCCACGCACTCCTGGCGCTGCCCTCTCCGCACAGTATACTACGAGGGGCTGCAGGACAAGTTGGCGCAGATCCGCGATGCCCGGGGGGCGCTCAGCGCCCTGCGGGAGGAGCACCGGGAGAAGCTTCGCCGGGCAGCTGAGGAAGCCGAGCGCCAGCGCCAGATCCAGCTGGCCCAGAAGCTGGAGATCATGCGGCAGAAAAAGCAGGTGTGGTGGCCGGCCCCACCTGGGGGGTGCCGACGTCGTGGACAGCCCTGATGGTGCCTTGTGCCCACAGGAGTACCTGGAGGTGCAGCGGCAGCTGGCCATCCAGCGCCTGCAGGAGCAGGAGAAAGAGCGGCAGCTGCGCCTGGAGCAGCAGAAGCAGACCATCCAGATGCGCGCCCAGATGCCCGCCTTCTCCCTGCCCTATGCCCAGGCACGCACCCACCCCGGGCCCACCCCTCGCCAGGGGCTGCAGCCACCGAGGACTGCCCTGACCGCCGTCTCTCTTTGTCCCCAGCTCCAGGCCATGCCCGCGGCCGGGGGCGTGCTGTACCAGCCCTCAGGCCCAACAAGCTTCCCGGGCACCTTCAGCCCCGCAGGCTCAGTGGAGGGCTCCCCCATGCACACGGTGTACATGAGCCAGCCGGCCCCCGCCACCAGCAGCCCCTACCCCAGCATGCCTGGGGCCGGAGCAGGTAATGGGGCGGGCGCAGGTGCCCACCAAGATGAGCTCCAGACTGCTACTTTTTCCTTCGTTTTTGTTTTGCTGTAATTTCAGTTCTACAGAAAAGTTAAATAGTACAAAGGGTTTTCTAGATTTCCCAAACAATATTTCATTACATTTGCACTCTCTATCCGTACATGCAGGCGTGCGCACATACACGTGGACTTTTTTCCCTGAATCTTTTTATTTATTTATTTTTTAAGATTTTATTTGACAGAGAGAGGGAGAGAGGGAACACAAGCAGGGGGAGTGGGAGAGGGAGAAGCAGGCTTCCCGCTGAGCAGGGAGCCCGATGCGGGGCTCGATCCCAGGGCCCTGGGATCATGACCTGAGCTGAAGGCAGACGCCCAATGACTCAGCTCCCCAGGCGCCCTCCCTGAACCTTTTTAGAGCGGGTGGCGGGTATGATGCTCTTTGCTGCTAGCGCGGTCACAGCATGTGACCTCACCGATGGCCGGGTTCAGCTCTCCCACACAGTCTCAGTAACACCCCTTGTGCAGACAGGAAACCCCATGGCTGTTGTCTTTAACTGTTTGGCTGCTTTTCATCTTTGATCTAGAATGTTCTTTCTTTGCTTTTGTGTTCATAACCCTGACTCCTCAAAGAGCACTGGCCTGCTATCTTGCAGACCAGCCCTCGCTGGGTCGTGGTTGGTCTTTGTGGCTGGGTTTTGACCGTGCATCCTGGTCGCTGGAGTGCTCAGCAGGCAGGCACAGCCGGCTGCTGGCCCGAGGCGCGCAGGCGGCCTCTCGGGGTTCCTGCAAGGGCCTGGCTGTCCCGTGGCAGTCAGCAACCATTCAGTGGGGACGAGACTTGCACACATCCTTGCTCCTCCCAAGTTGTCACCCACTGGCTTCAGAGCCTTCTCCTCCGTGTGTGAGGTTGTCATAACGTTTGTCACCCAGTGACTTTATCATCTCGTTCGTCTTGTTGGTCAGTTGTCTTTCCACTGTAAGGAGACACTTCTTTACTCTTTCGTCGTTTACATCCACGTGGACCCATTTTATTCAGATTTCACAATTGGTTTCACGGCTCAGATGGTCCCAGGTGTGGCCAGCTCCGGGGCCATCTACCCCCATTCTGTGTTCACATTGTCGCTGCTCAGCCCTGGAGGCAGCCCCTCTCCAGGGAGCCGCTGGTCCTGGGAGTGGGGGGTTGTTCAGCATCTGGGGCCCGCCGCGCATGCACAAGCCTCGTCTGCGGACGGCAGACCTGGGTTCAGTGATACGGCACGGGGCTTCCTCCCCTCTCCATGCCTGTATTCTCCCCACATGGGCTGCTCTGTTCGTTCCTGGAGTACACGGAAAGTGGTTTCAGGAACGCCAGCCCGAGCCCCTGGGGAGAGGTCCTCCTGACTGGGCTCACTAGGTCTGGTAGTCCTCTGTCTTCAGTCCCTGAGTTTCAGAAGGTGCAAGAGCTCGTTTCCCCCACCCCTCCCGTGCCGGCCTCTTACACCCCGTCGATAGTTTGGTTCATTTCTTCTGATTGCATTCAGCACTAGAGCTCCTCTCCTATCCTTGTTGGGTTTTTTTCCTTTTGTGAGAATGTGAAATGTGAACTTGGTTCCAGAAGTCACCCTGCAGGGTAGTGAGCTTGCTCCTCTCCCTCCATAGATCCCAGCATGGTGAGCGCCTACATGTACCCAGCGGGGGCCACCGGGGCGCAGGCAGCCCCCCAAGGCCCCACCGGGCCCACCGCCAGCCCAGCCTACTCGTCCTACCAGCCTACTCCGACACAGGGTTATCAGGTAGGCGGGCAGGGTTGGCTCCCCTCCCCAGCGAGGGCCCGCAGCCCTTCTCCCATCACACGCTTCCCTCCACAGAACGTGGCCTCCCAGGCCCCCCAGAGCCTCCCGGCCATGTCCCAGCCTCCACAGTCCGGCGCCATGGGCTACATGGGGACTCAGTCGGTGTCCATGGGTTACCAGCCTTACAGCATGCAGGTGAGACACCGCGTGGGGTGTCCACATGGAAAAGAGGCTGGGGGAGCGCTGGGCAGGCCCCGCCCCTTCCTGCCCATCCCCCCTTCCCCACTGGGAGGCTCTCCTAGCTGGTGGGCATTTGATTTTCCAAGTCAGAAACACCCCCCTTTATTGGCATACAGGGCTCCTTCACGTGGGGTTCGCTTCTTTTCACAGAGTCTCATGAGCACCCTCCCCAGCCAGGACGCACCTCTGCCACCCCCCCAGCAGCCCTACATCGCAGGGCAGCAGCCTGTGTACCAGCAGGTGAGCTCCTCCCAAGGCTGCCGGCAGCTCAGCTCGAGGACGATGGTGGGGCTGTCCTGGGAGGAGGAGACCGTGCAGGCCAGGACTGCTTCCCAGCCGGCACACACGCAGCAATGCACACAGATGTCCAGACCACACACGTGCTCAACCCCGTGGACACTGGTCGGGAACTCCTGGGGTCTCCGCTGGGGCAGGATGAGAACAGGGAACCCACAACAAGCTGGGAGGACGGAGGCCTGGCGTGGACTGGGCTTTGCCAGGACTGAGCCCTGGGGCTGAGACCAGGGTGGAGCGTTCTATAGAGAGAAGCCACTGGGGGAGGGTGGGAAGGCCAGGGTCTGGGGAAGGAGGACTGATGGTTCCTGTGCCTTACCCCCAGATGGCGCCCTCCGGGGGACCCCCCCAACAGCCACCCCCCGTGGCCCAGCCGCCACCTGCACAGGGCCTTCCGGCGCAGGGCAGTGAAGCCCAGCTCATCTCGTTTGACTGACCGCGGCCGGGAGCGCACCAGCCAGAACAACACTACGGTTCTCTGAACCACCGCCTCCGTCTCTAACTAGCGTCGTATTCCTGCCTCGCTCTCCTCTTACAGCCATGTAGTGTCCCTGCTGCGTGCAGGGGGTGGCCCTTCACCCTGGCCCCCGCCCTCTGTCCTCTCCCGCTGACTCCTCGTGCCCCCGGGCCACACCCTCCTCCCCATCTCCCTGAGTTGGTCTCGGACTTCTTTCCCCAGGGCTGGGCCTCGGAGGGTGGGAGGGAGGGATCCTCTCCGAGAGGGAGCCCTCAAGCCCCGTGTGTCAGGTCCTGTGAGGGCTGGCTGGAGCGGGGTCCCTCTTCCTGTGCAGCCTGGGCCTCCCCCCATCTGCACCCGGGAGACCGCACGGCCTGTGGTCTGACTCGTGTGCGTGCTTCCCAGAGCCCTCTGGCGTGGCCCCCTGCGGTCAGCATGCACTCCTGGCCCTCACGGGAGGGTGGGGGCTTGTCTCCAGCTTCTCTGCTTCTGAGCTGCCATCTCATCCAGTGCCCCGAGTAGACGGAGCGGAACACTGATAATAAAATGTCTTTCAACAAGTATCCGAGTGTCTCTACAGAAGGAAGGTGGTGGGCAGCTGGTGCAGCTCTGGACAGGGGCGAGTAGGCACATGCCTGTGGGCCAGCCTGTCCCAAGCCAAGCCTGGTTCCACGGTCAGTGTCGAGGGGTGGGCACTGCTCCGGCAGCAGCTGCAGATCTGATCCTCCCCTGAGACAGCGCCACGGAGCTGTGCCCTTGGGGAGCCCCGCAGCAGGCCTCCCCGTCCAGCCCTGCTCTGCCCTGACTCCTCAAAGACTCGCAGCGCCCAAGGAGGAGTGTGGCTCTACACCAGTCAGAGTTGTAGTCTGGAAGAAAGTACCTTAGCCCTCGTACCCAGAGTTCAGAGCATTCCACACCCTTTAAATATCTCGTAGGTGATCCCAGCTAATGCTGGATCTCTTCTGTGAAGAGATGGACTAGTTTACTAGGCAGAGAGGCTGAGCCCGGCCGAAGGCAGGGCCAGGACAGCAGGAGGTTGCCGGGCAGAGGACGGCTCGCCTTCTTGATTTGATGTAACAAGCGCTGCTCCGTGCCTGGCTCTTAGAAAACCAGCTGGGACCCAGGAGCCTCAGGGCAGATGTCAGAGGGGCCGCGGAGGCGCCCACGTGCACAACGTTTGGGAGCTGGACGGAGAGGCAGGCAGGACTTCAGAGCACTCAGGCAGCTGGACAGAGCCCGGGCTTACAAATTCTCTTCTCCCAGGCGAAACGCTAGCCCTCCCGCCCACGACCCCATCACTCGACCCTTCCAGGCTCAATCACAACCCTCAGCCGCGCTGTCAGCGGAGAATCCCGAGTTCAACCGCGCAGACGCGCGGGCCCAGGACGCGGCCTCGCTCCCGGGGCGGCACGGACCGACAGAAAACGTGCTCCCGCGCTGGCGCGAGAGGCAACCCTTCAGCGGGAGGAGGGAACCGAGGAGACGGCTGCCCAGAGGGCAGCGGGAGCTCTCGGCGCCGGGTGACCTCGGGCTGCGGGCGGCCGGGGAGGGCGTCCCGAGCCGAAACCCCCGTCAGCCGGCGCGAGGCTTCGACAGGTGTCGGGGAGTGGGGGTCACTGCACTGTCCTCCCCGGTGGACTACTCGCCGGCCGGGACCGCCTCCCCGAGCCTCGGCCTTCTCCGGCCTTCGTTCGCCTAGCGAGGACGGGGCCCCAGGCCCGCGACCCCGACTCCCGGCCGCCACCCACGAGCTTCTGCGCCTGCGCGGCTCGCCGTCCCGTGGGTAATCTCTGGGAGCGAGAGGAAGCCGGCGCGAGGTGCGGCTAGAGCGTCCTCTCCAACTCGTTTCCCCGGCGGCCTCCTGGGCTAGAGCGTCCTGACACAGCTCGGATGCTCGGCGCCCCGGCGGCTAGAGCGTCCTCACTCAGCTCGGATGCCCGGCGGCCCCGGCGGCTAGAGCGTCCTTCTCCTGGGGAGCCGCGTGTGACCTTCCCGCCCGCGGACCGATGCTGCTGGCGGCCGCTCGCCCCCTCTGGGGGCCGTGTCTCGGGCTTCAGGGCGCTGCGCTCCGTCTCGCCAGGTACCGCGGCCCGCCGAGGGCTGGAGGGTGGCAGGGTCGGGGCCCTCGGCCGGCAACTGAGGGTGCAGGTTGGGGGCGGCGTCCGCGCGCGGCGGGCGGTGTGCCCCCCGGACTCGTCGGGGCCCGGCGCAGGTGGGCGTCGCGAGGGCCCCCCGACTCCGCCGACTCCTTCGGGCTGCTGAGTGTGCTAGGGGAGGCCCCAGACGACCGTGCACAGGTCCCTGTCTCTCCCCGGGCCTCAGTTTCCCCCGCAGCCCCAGTGACGTGGTAGGTCTTCCGTCGCTGGGTCCGGCGTTGTGCCGCCCGAGGGCCCCAGATTCTGAGAGGCTTAGTGTAGCGGAATGCATTCACGTTACTGTCCTGCGCCCTTGGGCAGATAGTTTTTCCGACCCGGAAGCTAATGTTGCGGGTAGCCTGTCTGCAAATACTCGCGTGGATTTCTAAGGCTCGTTGAAGAATTTAAGGTAGCTGGGAAGTCCCCTTATCCTCGTGGACCCTGGAACCTGAGAACCCCGGGTTGGGACCAGGGAGCTAGACCTGAGCTCATAGCGCCTACCCGCCTTGTGTGTGTGTGCCACCCGCTTGTGCCAGTCTGACAGACTTGTTGGAATGGGGGGCTAGGCAACAGGTGCCCCGTGTCTGCGCTGTGAGGCTGATGAGATGCGGCGGCCATCGAATGGGGGAGGCCCTCGCCGGTGCACCCCTGGATAACGCGCCCAAGGAGTATCCCCCCAAGATCCAGCAGCTTGTCCAGGACATCGCCAGCCTCACACTCCTGGAAATCTCAGACCTCAACGAGCTCCTGAAGGTATCACAAGCCCAGGCCTGTGTCTTGTTCTTGGTATATTTGGGGAGCGTGGTAAATTGTCCGAAGCGTGCTCCCTGAGTATGAGGACTGTGTCGGGCTTGTTGTGTGGGTGTCTTCGAACGTGATGGGCAGTGACTGAGACTCTGCTCTCCCTTCTCCCTGCAGAAAACACTGAAGATCCAGGATGTTGGACTCATGCCGATGGGCGGCACGATGCCCGGAGCTGCCCCTGCTGCAGCAGCACCCCCCGAGGTGGGCGCGGGCCAGGGTCCCATGCAAAAAGGTTTTCCTCTGGTGCCACCATGTCGCGTGGCCAGATTTCTCTCATTGTCCCTCATCTTAAGCCTGCATCGGCCAACACATCCCGCAAAGCTGTGTGTGCTGGCTGTGGGCCACCTGCAGCGTCCTCGGGACCACCTTCCTGCCGAGGATGTGCAGATCCCTGCCCACGTGAAGACCGTGTTTCTTGTGGAGGGAAATTGGCGATAAGCCAAATAAGAAGAAAAAGAAAAATTTTATTGAATAGCAGAACATGATAAGTGCTGTGGGAAAAACGTAGGGAAGAAGCTTAAGGGGAGGGGAGGGTTACAATTTCCAGGGAGGCCATGATAAGGAGGTGGCACTGTAGGGGAGATTTGAGGAATACAGGAAGAGAGAGGGCTTTCCCAGCAGAGGGCCGGTGGGCACGAGAGCCGTGGGGCACGGCCAGGGCTGGAGCAGAGATGGGGGGGTGATGGGCAAGTTTGGGTCTCCACGACGAAACCAGCCGACCTGAAGCCACGCACTGATTTGTTATGTTTTTTGTTTGTTTCTGGTTTGGTGGGGGGATGTTGCACTTTCTGTTGGGAAAATTCCAAAATTATCAAGTACAAAGAACAATCTATGTACGTATCACTCAGCCTCGATAACGATTAAGGTTTTGCCGTGTTTACTTTGCTTGTCCCTTGAAGCTTAAGGCACGTGTCCGGTCTGTCCTTTCTCTTTGTGCTCCAGCACGTATCTCTAAACACAGAGGCGTTTTCTTAACGTAGCCACGAGCCATTTGTACGACAAACATCATCAACAGTGATTTTCTCGCTCAGTCTGTTCAGATTTAGCTAATGGTTCCAGACTTTATAGCAGCGGGTTTATTCCAGTCTAAACACTGTGTGTTGCATGTGGTCACTAGGTCCCTGCAGTCTGGCTCCCGTCCTCAGTCCCCTTTCCCTGGCCATCTTTTACTACGAAATCCAGGTCAGGGGTCCTGTGGGGTGTCCCACATCCCGGACGTGTCTGATGGTTCTAGTGGTATCAGCTCCACTCCTCCATCTGCTGCAAACTGGTAGCTTCATAGGCTGGTGAGATTCAGGCTGAACATTTGGGGCAAGGAGAGACGGAGTTCCTCTGAACTTTATTGTCGAAACTGGAACGCTTCTGAGAATGAAGGGATACTGTCAATAATTGGGGGGCGGGAGGCGCCTGGGGGGCTCAGATGGTTAAGCGTCTGCCTTCGGCTCAGGTCACAATCCTAAGAGTCTCGGGATTGAGCCCCTCATTGGGTTCCCTGCTCCGCGGGAAGCCTGCTTCTCCCTCTCCCCCTGCTGCTTCCCCTTGTGCTCTATCAAAAATAAAACCTTTTAAAAAATAGTAATTGGGGAGCAGATCTAAACCAGGACTGCCCCCTCCCAGGCTGCCGCGCCACGTGTCCCCTGCCCCGTGGGGGTGCTGTGTCTTCAGCTGTGACAGCAGGGCCTCTGTCAGCCTCGTCCTCCTGTCGTCGGTCACTCAGCGAAGGTGGGGCTGCGGCGGCCTGTCAGTCTATCATCCACACGGGGTTTGGCTGAGGATGACAATGGCACTGCTTTCCTGAAATGCTGTTGGATAAGAGCTGTTGCTGTCAGCCTGCCTGTCCCACAATTACAGCTTTGAAGGGATAAGGGAACTTGAGTGGGTGGGTGAGGGGAGGCAGATTCAGAACTGCCTCTGGGGAGAGGGCAGTGTTCTGGCCCGGGAGCCAGGTCTCAGCTGGGGAGTGTGGGAGGGAGGGAGGGAAGGCTCCACGCGGTTAGCCCCGAGCCCAGCAGGGCTGGTGCGCCTCCAGCTGGAGCTGCGGGCCTTGCTGGCCTTGCTTTGGGGCTTGGAGGTAACAGGACAAGGTGGCCCAGGAGCGATTGTGCCTACCGCACCCTGTGCTTTGTCTCTCCCTCTCCCAGGTAGCAGAAGAAGACATCCCCACACAAAAAGAACGGACACATTTCACTGTCCGCCTAACAGAGGCAAAGCCCGTGGACAAAGTGAAGCTGATCAAGGAAATCAAGAACTACATCCAGGGCATAAACCTCGTCCAGGTGAGCTCCGTGTGCCACACAGGCCTCCCCCTGCTGTCCCTACCATGCGAGCGGTTCTGGGACTGGCCCCTTCTGGGGCAGATAGGTTGCGGCCACCCAGGCCCCATTCCTGACTTTGCTCTGTGGCAGGCAAAGAAGCTGGTGGAGTCCCTGCCCCAGGAAATCAAGGCCAATGTCGCCAAGGCCGAGGCAGAGAAGATCAAGGCAGCCCTGGAGGCGGTGGGCGGCACCGTGGTTCTGGAGTAGGGCCAGCTCTGAGGACTGGTGGACAAGGGTCCCTGGGACCGGGGCGAGGCCCCCCTGTCTGGGACCTGCTGGTGGGAGCAGCCTCGGAACAGAACTGCGGCACTGGCACCCCTGGGCCAATTCCGTTCTGGGACGGGCGGATGGACCGGCTGAGCCTGGGGGCGTGGCTCCTGCGTGAGCACCAGGGAGACGGACTCTAGAACTTACCGCGGTCAACATGCACCCCCTGGTGGCAACTGAGAAAAATACATTGTTTGGGTACTGTGTGTGCAGAGTGGTGTATCTGGGTGGGCTGCCAGGTGGGTGGTGGGGAGCTGGCTAGGGTAGCCCCCTCATTCCCCAGTGGGATGTGTGGGGGTTGGTCAGCGACCTTTGGGTCCTTTGTGTGCAGGGGCCTGACCTCCCAGGGCTGGTGGCAGCACACCGGGGGTACGGGCAGCGCCCCTCCTGCTGGGGTGGCAGCAGCTGGCTGCTGCCAGATCATCACTGGGAGGTGGGTGTGGGGCACCTGTGGTGGTCTTTAGCAGACTGAGGTGAGCGGTGAGGCATGTGCCTGAGAATGGCAGGCCCCCGTGCCCCCTCCCTGGCCACGTTGGCAGAATGCAAGGACGGGGCTGTGGGACCAGAGAGGACATTGCGTCTATAGGATAGAACCCCTCAGGACAGGCCTGGGGAGCTGCTGTGTTCCCAGCGGGCCATGCCCCGCACCCAGAGAGTATGCTTCCTGCTGGACTCCTTGTAAGAAGGCTGCTCCCTGACCCAGAGAGCCCCGCTGGCCAAGTCTGGCCCGGACAGTCCCAGAGGGTTAATGATTCACCATCAGCGGATCTCTGGGCATGCCTTCCCTCAACAGGTGACTGCTGGGCCACCTGGGTGGGTACGGCTCGCCCAGTATTCTGCTGACCCAACTGCCTTTTCCTGGGGGAAGGGAGTGGTCTGAACTCAGGGACAGTCCTCAGCCTCGGCCTTCCCTTCCGCAGGTCACCTACAGAGTCCGCCTCATCTCTGAGCCCCTTTGTCTTTCCAGGGGAATTAGGGTGATGATGAGGACTCCCTTTCTCCCCTTCCCTCTTCCTGGGATGATGCGACCTCCTGCTCCATGCTGGACGGCCTGGGGGTGGCTGCTCAAAAGTGCAGCTGATGCCGTACCCCAGGGCCATCAGGCTATCAGGCCATCCCCGTTCTGCCTACCTTCCACCAGGCTAGGACAGTGCTTGGATGGTGATCGCTTGGTGCCCCCCACCTGACTTCACAGGCCCTGGTGGTCCCCCCCAGCTCCAGTGTTGACCTGCTCTGGTCTGTAGTTGGCCAATAAAGTGTCTCCAACCTGGCAGTAGGTGGGGCATGCCCTGAGTCCCTGGAGGCCACTTGGCCTTGGCCCCTGAGCTCAGCAAGGAAAGTAGAAGTAGATCTGCTGTGCATCCTGAGTTGCCCTGATGGCGCCCACACGAAACCTTACAGGTCCTGTCAGGTCCTGGTAGGAGTTAGCATACTGGGTCTTTGTCCAGGCTAACGAAACACGGAAGAGGGAGATCTGGAGCTGACCCCTGCCTCCTGCCCATTCCAGGGACCCTGGTGTCTACCTGGCCCCCCATGTGGCCTCTTGAGGACATGGGAATGCTGCAGTGCAGACAGGCCCCACCCGAGAGGCCTGGCCAGGCAGCCTTGTTCTCAAGACCTCGCCTGACCTCCCCATCTAAAACCTTGGGTTTATGCACAAGTAGTTATGATCCATTTGAGAATTTGGCTGGGGATCTTTTTGAGTTCGCTGACCTAGAGCTTGCAAAGTGCCACCTTTGTCTTAAAAAGTCGCCCCACACTTGGTGCATTTTCCAGGATTCCTCCACGCTTTGCTCTCCTCGAGCGTTTCCAGATCTTGAGGGAGTTCACAGATTGCAACGTGCTGTGCTGCCGCTCTTGACATTTCAGTTCTCAGATCTCTTCAGTTTCTGCTCCGAAGCTTCAGGGATCCGCCGTTCTCACCGGGGGGCAGTCCTCGGTCTGCACTGGGGCTTTCTCCCCTACGTGGGTTCAGGACCCTGTCTTGCTGATGTGACCAGAGAGAGGTGGCAGCCCCCACCCCGGGACCTTGCCCCTAGCTTTCTGGGCTGTCCCCTCCACTTGCCTTCTCTGAGATTAGCTTCTTTGTAGTCAGGAGCTGGTAACATTACCCTTGGGCTGACCAAAGATTCAGACATCTTGATTTATCTTGAATGAGACCTGGTTCTGGGCAGGTTTGGTGCTGGCTTGGGTCTCCGGAGTGGGCTTGAAGATGCTACTTACTCCCCATGGGACACTGGACAAGGCGGCCACTCCCCTGCAACCCACCAGTCTGTCAGCTCTGTTTCTTTAAACAAAGGGCTTAGGTATGAAAGCCATCTCACGTTTTCACATTTCCTTGCAGAGCTTTGGTGTCTCGCATCTTCTCTTTTTTTTAATGGAATTGTTTTTCCTAATTTCAGTTTGTTTATTGCTGATATAAAGAAATACAATTGACTTTTTTTTAAGTAACCTCTATGTCCAATGTGGGGCTTGAATTCAGAACCCCAGAATCCAGGAGTCACATGCTCTTGGAACTGAGCCAGCCAAGTGCCTCCTCTGGTTTCTTCTGGAAAATTGCTGTGACCCTTCCCCCACTGTGCCTGCCCCCGCCCCACCCCAGGCCCCAAGTTTCCATCTAGTCTACAGCTAGGGTCTTCTTTCCATCCTGCCCCTCTACTTCAGATCCAGCAGGATGCCTGTGTGGCCACCCCCCTCCACCACCTCCCAGGGTCCCCAGCATTTCTGGGCTGGACACCATCTCTGCAGCAGTTCCCCAGCTGATGACCTCAGGGGTCAGAGGCCTCCTGCAGTTCTAAAAGACAGAGTCCTTTGTCTCCGAGTGGCAGCTCTAAGTAAATAGGGAGGTTTGCTGGCCCATACTATGCCTCTGACACAGATAATTGCTGGGCGCTCAGCAGGCTCAGGGGACCCAGAGTTGTTTCCCCAATGCCCCTCACACTTCTTCCTTGCGTGGGGGTGGAGGGCTGCAGTGGCCAAGCTGGAACTGCAAGATATAGGTTCTTCCCTGGGGAAGGGGTCTCTGGCTCTGTCTTCTCTGGGCCCGTGTGGCCCTGCTGTAAAGTGGCCCTGGGGATTCAGATTTCCACTTTGCCCAGCTGGTGCATCTCCGGCTTAGGAGCATACTTCCACCTCCCGTTTGCTGGATGTTGGAATAAGAGTGGGGATCTGCACACATGTGGCTATCTCCGGCGGGCAGGCAGCCACTCCAGCTCCCAGGAGCCTGAACTCCCATGGCTCAGAACTTCCTGTCTCCTTGTCCACTTCCAGGATGGTTGTCTGGTCAGAGCACACCTGAGGCTGGACTTGGCTGGGAGCACCGGAGGGCCGCTAGTCTCCCCGAATTGTCTTTTGCCCCTAGTTTTTCTGTAATCTGCTGACTGGCCCCAAGAAGGTTTTCTGCCACCCCCTCCGGGTGCACGTGTCCCAGGGCTGACCCCCAGGGCCTGCGTGGCGGAGCCGGGACACTGGGTGCAAGGTCAGGGCCGCGGCTGGGGCGGGCTATTTCCAGGAGGCCGGCCTCCGGGAGTGGCAGGGACTGGCTGAGCGCCGAGGCCGCTCCTTGGCGGCGACCTTCGGAGACCTGCCCTAGGCGTGGGGGTGACCCTGCGGCGGCCGGAGCAGGGCGGGGTGGGGGGACGTGGAGCAGGCCACCCAGCAGGCTCCCTGGAGTCGGTAGGGGGGCTCCCCCCGCCACGCGCTAGCTAGCCCCTCGGGCACAGACGCAGGCGGCTCCGTTGCGGGGCCACCGCCGCTTTAAGGCGCGGTCCGCCCCCCGGCTCGAGGCGGGGTCTAGATGGCCCCGCCCCCCGGGCCGCGCGGGCGCATTGGCTGCGCGGGGCGCGGGTGGCGGGTGGCGCTTTGAACTCGGCGCCGGCGGCGGTGCGGGCCGGGGTCCGGGGCGGGAGTCGGGGTTCTGTCGGGGACCGGACGGAGGCCGGGTCCGGGGTGTGGGCAGCAGGAGCTGCACGTGGGCTGCCGGCGCTCCCGGGCGTCCGCGCTGCGGGCCATGGCGGCGGAGGCGCGCGTGTCGCGCTGGTACTTCGGGGGACTGGCCTCCTGCGGGGCCGCCTGCTGCACGCACCCGTTGGACCTACTCAAGGTGAGGGCGGCGCGGCCCGGGCGGGGCCGGGTGCGAGGGGCCGGGGGTTGGGGAGGGGGGAGGCGTGGGGCGCCACCCACGCCTGGGCACTGACCTGCCTGGCCCTGCCCTGGCCCTGGAAGGCCTGAGACTTGGGGCCGCCTTGTGGATCACTGACCCCGCCCGGAGACCCTGCCCACTCCGGGGTAGCGGTGCCTGTTGTTGGGGACCACGGGCCACGTTCCAGCCCCGGCTGTGCCCCATACTACCTGTGTGACCTTGGGCTAGTCGCTTGGCCTCTCTGAGCCAATTTCCATCCCGCAGTTTTGAGGACAGGAGTTCTGCCTGGTTTCGAGTTGAGGGGGTGGTTCTCTGGGGTGCACACCTGTTGGCTCTAGCACACCCAGGGCATAGACCAGGTGGCCACCCTGCCTGATGGGTACCCAGCACACAGTGAGGGAATGGGACACGTACCCTGGGCTACGTTCCCTGGGATCCCTGCTTTGGGCTGCTTCCTCCGGGACTGGGTTGGCACCTGGAAGCCGCAGGTCCTGCACCCACACAGGTCCTGCTCTGTGAGGGTGAGCAAGAAGCATTCACACTCATTTTACTTTTTTTTTTAAGGAAAAATGCTTATGGGGCAGTATGAGACAGAACTTCTCTTGTCTCCCAGGGCCAGGCCGGGGGGGGGGTGGTGCGGGGAGGGGGTTGTTTTCTGCCCCTTTCTCACTACAAAGAACAAAGAAGAAAGGGCTGATGGTGCCTGGTCGGCCCAGGAGGCCCTGCCCTGGGGAACCTGGGCTGTGGTCACATGGGACCCGTGGGCCAGGGGGGCAGCTCCCTGGCCACCTCTGTCCCTACCCCCACCCAAAGCAGCCTGACCCCCATACTCACTCCCTGGAAGGGATTGGCACCTTTGGCCCTGTTGACCCAAACCTCAGCCTCCAGCCAGGCCCCCACCCCAGCCCCTCCTCCACCTGAGGGTATGTTTCTTTCAGCAGCTTTTGTCCTAAATGAAGGGGGATTGACTTCTCTAGTAAAAATGCTCACCTCCAGTCTAGGCAGGATTAGCAGTCGTGGGGGCTGAAGGTGGTAGCCCCGTTGGCACACCTGAGACCTGGCTTGTCCTGGGAGAGGCCTGCAGGCTCCTAGTAGCCCCCAGGGCCTGAGAGGGGGTTAGGAGGAACAGGGCCAGGCCTGGAAGGTGCTGTGACCACCTGAGAGAGGAGGTGACAGTGAACTGAAAGGTGCTTCTTGTTTTGAGAAAGGAGGAGCCTCCCCTCGTGTCTGTTTTATTTTGCTTTCCTGATGCCCAGGCAGGTACTGTGCCATCTGCGCCATCTCCACCGTGGGGCCCTGGAGGGTTAGGCTCTGTGTCCGATTGTGGGTGAGCACAGCTTCTAGGGGCCCTTGGAGCGGCGCAGAGCCCCCTGTCCATTGTCCAAGGCTCCTTTGGGCATCACTGCCCCATACCCTGCCCCCCGGGTTCTGTATTACTGCAGAATGCTGCCAGGAGGGTCAAGGGCAGCAGGCAGCCACAGGACGCTGACTGCTGTCTGGCCCAGGGGGTACTCAGCCCTCTGCGGGGGTGGCAGCAGGGAGGACAGCCTTGGAGGCGGGCCTCCCTGGGAGGCCCTGGCTGAGCGTGTTGCCTCTCGACAGCGTGGCCACTGGAGAAATGATTTTACAGCTCTTTGATCTCTCCCTTTGCCCTCTGCCCTGGCTCAGTCCTCACAGCTGCTTCTCGCCTGGACAAGGGCTCCTTCCTGCATGGACACCTTGCCCCCAGGCCCAGTGCCCTCTTTCCTGTCCCACTGGCCTCTGTGGCTGAGTGGAGCACAAAGCCCTCTCCGTCCCCACCCACCTTCGCCGCCCTACCACCCAAGCCCCTGGGCGGGGACAGAGAAGGAAAGGAAAGGTACACCCACGGAGCTAAACTTAATCCTCATGGGGCGCCTCGGTGGCTCAGTTGGTTAAGCGACTGCCTTCGGCTCAGGTCATGATCCTGGAGTCCCGGGATCGAGTCCCGCGTCGGGCTCCCCGCTCGGCGGGGAGTCTGCTTCTCCCTCTGACCCTCTTCCCTCTCATGTGCTCTCTCTCTCATTCTCTCTCTCAAATAAATAAACTTCATCCTCGTAGCACACTGAGGGAAACTGAGGCAGGAGGGTCCGTAACCTGCCCGGGGGGGCCCAGCCAGAACACGAATGGGGCTGGACAGAGTGGGGCGTGTGGGGACAGACCCCAGGGCGGCCCTCCCAGCAGTGCCCTTTCCCCTCTCCCCCACCGGCTCCCAGTATCTCTTCCAAGCCCACCACGTTTCTTCAGCCTGTCTCTGAGTCCCCACAACGCCTGATCCCTCTCGAGAAGTGGCATGGCTAAGAAATGGGGCTCTGGAGTCACCCTGTGGGGTCTACACCCGGCCTCAGTGTCCTCATCAGAATGGGACTGATGACCCCCACTCCTGCAGCAGGTGCTGTGAGGACTCCGACACATAGGTGAACTATTTCTCACAGGTCTGGTGGGCTCACGTGTCAGCCGGCATTGTCCCTTGTAAAGCAAAATAGTGTGGAATATTTTGGTTGGTGCCAGGTGTGGGCATGGAGTCCCATCTACACCCAGCTGGGCACCCTTAGGAGACCTCTGTGTCTCCCTGTGCCTCAGTTTCCCGTCTCTAAACTGGGGTGCTGAGAGGAGCCAGCCCATGGGGTCTTCGTGTGGGTATAAAAGTGGCAGATGGTGGGAAAGGGCTCGGAGCAGAGCCGGGCTGGGTGGGCCCTGCGGCAGGGCCCTGTGTGAGCAGCTGTGCCCCGACAGGTGCATCTGCAGACGCAGCAGGAGGTGAAGCTGCGCATGACGGGCATGGCCCTGCAGGTGGTGCGCTCCGACGGCATCCTGGCACTCTACAACGGCCTGAGTGCCTCCCTGTGCAGACAGGTGCCTCCGGGGCTCCCCACTCCCGGGACAGTGGGTGGCTATGACTCCCGGGAGGGCGCTTCTGCCTCTCAGCTCCCCCCCCCCCCCCGCCCCGCGAGGTAAGGGCTTCCCTAAGTCCCCCGCCCCGCGAGGTAAGGGCTTCCCTAAGTCCTGGTCGCAGAGCCCATGCAGGTAGAGGGAAAGACTGGTGTCCCTGGTCTGGACTCAGATGCACTGTGGGTGCCCCGTGGGCATGGGAGTTACTTTGTGCTCCTTTTCAAGGCTGGGTAGGAGAAAGGAACCACACGGCCCCAGGAGTTGGCAGGGTGTGGTGGCCTGGGATGTGCTTCTGCCTTCCATGGGGCCAGCCCTGCTCTCACAGCTGGCTCAAGACCTCCCCTTAGACATGGGGAAACTGAGCCCGGGGAGGGAAACTCTGATCTCAACCAGCCCCGGGTTTGTGAATTGGCTCAGTCACTTGCTGACCATGTGGCCTTGGGAGGGTCCTTCACTGGCCCCATGGCCCATTTGGTGATGATTTTAAACCAGAAGGGCTGGGGTGGGGAGGGCCGACATGCCCAGCAGGATTCTCCCACCTGCAGCCTCTGAGCTGGGCCCCTTTTCCCCCAGATGACCTACTCCCTGACTCGGTTCGCCATCTATGAGACCGTGCGGGACCACATGGCGAAGGGCAGTGAGGGGCCCCTGCCCTTCTACAAGAAGGTGTTGCTGGGCTCCATCAGCGGTGAGCTGCCAGCTGGGCCAGGGAGGGTGGGCGCAGGCGGACATTGCCAGTCATCACATGTTGGCTCTGGGGTCTGTCGCCCCAGGTTGCATTGGAGGCTTCGTGGGGACTCCCGCAGATATGGTCAATGTCAGGTCAGTGTGTGCCCCCACCCAAGGCCAGGGTCTTTCCCGACTCCTGACAGGGCGGGGGGCTTACTTGCTGGGGTCTGCGGTGTGTTCAGCCTGGAGCAAGCACTCGGACCTTGGGGGCCTGGACACGGGGGCCTGGGGGGCAGGCCAGGGTGAGCCCCAAAGCCTGCCAGCTTCTGTGTGGGTCATATTTGGCCCCCTGCCGCACCCCTGAGCCTGTGGTTGTTTCAGGATGCAGAATGACATGAAGCTGCCCCCGAATCAGCGCCGCAAGTGAGTAGCGGGCAAGTTCTGCTCTTGGTTGGCGGGGAGGGGGGGGGGGGGGGCCTGGGGGGGGGGTGCGTGCAGAGCAGGAAGACCTGAGCGGCTCTGCCAGTCCCCGGCTGGGAGCCCCAAGAGGCCTTGTTGCCTGTGGTGTCACCTGGAGCAGGCAGAGGCTGCTGACAGCGCTCTCGTCCGCCTGGAGTCAGGAGGGCCTCTGGGTTCTTTCCTGGTAGGGGAATCTGGGATGGAGGCTGGCTACTTTCCCCCCATTTCTGATATCTTGTACTTGTTCACAGGAAGGATGGTTTACAAGCTTAAGTGAGGGGGTTTGGGCCTTTAAACAAGTTTGGGGGCTGGGATTTTTTTTTTTTTTAATGGTAAAAATACCATTTTTCATGAAGTCTAAGATCCTATTGATTCCAAGGCTGCCTATGGACGGACGCCCTAGCTAGGGAGCAGACATTGGCTACAGTCCAGGGGTAAAACAGGGCTCCAGGCAGGCCCCCACCCTCTCACCCTGAGGACCAGCCCGCAGACAGACCCAGCCTTGGCGGGGTGGGGGGGGTCTTCCGGCACTGTTGTCCCCTGACCCCTGTGGCAGCTGCATGGCTGGCCCCGGGGAGGACCCTCCCCTGTGGGCCAGTGGGCAGGGAGGGCCTCACCCCGGCCCCTTGTCTGTCCCTGGCAGCTACGCCCATGCCGTGGATGGCTTGTACCGGGTGGCCCGAGAAGGTAAGAGGAGCAGGCCCTTTGGGGGGTCCAAGGAGGCAGAGGGGCCTGGGGAGTATTGTGCAGGACATGGGGGGAGGCCTGAGGCGTGTGGCTGGGCGCCTGACCTCCGTTCTCTGGCAGAGGGTCTGAAGAAGCTGTTTTCGGGCGCGAGCATGGCATCCAGTCGAGGGATGCTTGTCACCGTGGGCCAGGTGGGGCTTCTGCTGGCGGTGGGCCTCCTGGGGCAGCATCTGGGGGGCCCGCCCTCAGCCCCTGGAGAGGTGGTGGAGGAAGGCAGTGGGCATGGACCACAGGTGGGGGCTGGGGAGGTTGGTAGGCCCCTCCCAGTCCGGGCCTCCCCCGTCTGCCCGGTCACAGTAACTGGAGGTGACCTGCAGAGCAGGCACTTGGTCAGTCCTGGTGATGTCCCTGTGGGCCCCTGTCTACCCTTCCTGGGGCTGGGGGCCATCCCACAGGCCCTGCTCACCCCTCCCCCGACAGCTGTCCTGCTACGATCAGGCCAAGCAGCTGGTCCTCAGCACTGGGTACCTGTCTGATGGTGTCCTCACTCACTTTGTCGCCAGCTTCATCGCGGTGAGTGCTGGGCCTGGCCGTTGTGGGAGGCTCGGGAAGGGGAGGCTGAGTAGTCTTGGGAGCTGACGGTGCCCAGGACAAGGCCGGGGCTCAGAAGGCAGGAGGCTGTGGGCAGGTGTGGCGGATGTCCCTCTGGGGCTGCATACGTATGTAGGCACTGAGGCCCTGGTTCCCAAGCTGGGATGGTTCCTAGTGCCCCCCAGCAGCCCAGGGCCCTACAGCCCTGAGGATGCCTCCAGGGATCCGGGCCAGGGCTTCTATGGGGGTGGGTCTGTGGGGGAGGATGACGGGTGCCCCCGTACTCTGCCTGGCAGGCCCATTGGTGATAAGCCCCCCTCCCCACAGGGTGGGTGTGCCACGATCCTGTGCCAGCCCCTGGATGTGCTGAAGACGCGTCTCATGAACTCCAAGGGCGAGTATCAGGTGAGTGGGGGCTGCAGGCACTGTCCCCCTCAAGAGTACAGGCCTGGGGGCCGGCATGGGGGACCAGGGAGGGGTCCCCACACTGCTATTATCAGGCTCCAGGCTCCATGGCTGCGTGAGCCCGTGTCCCTGTCCTGGCATGTGGACGAGGCTTTCTTCCCCCTCCACGAGCACATTCTCCCCAGTTGCTGTTCCCAGCCAGCCATGGAGCCGCCCTTGGCCCTTTTTTAAAGACTTTATTTTTTTTTAAGTAGGCTCCACGCCCAACGTGGAGCTTGAACTCACAACCCAAGAGTCGCAGGCTCTACGGACGGAGCCAGCCAGGCGCCCCCCTGTGTGTTTTATTCATTTATTTTTTAAGATTATTTATTTATTTAAGAATGAGAGAGAGAGCACGAGAGGGAAGAGGGTCAGAGGGAGAAGCAGACTCCCCGCTGAGCAGGGAGCCCGATGTGGGACTCGATCCACCTGAGCCGAAGGCAGCAGCCCAGCCAGCTGAGCCACCCAGGCGCCCCCCTGTGTGTTTTAAATCTGATTCCTTGGTGTTCACAGAGGCGGCCTGTTCACTGTAGTCAGTGAAAGTCAGTGAGCTGCCGCATTCTAATGGGCAGGCCCAGAACTCGGCTGACCCGCATGGCCACTTCTGTGTCTCTGCGTGCCCTGCTCCTCTTCCCAGCCCCCCACATGCTGTGGGTGCCCGGCGGTTCCCCTCTGCCTGCTTCTGGTTTTGCTGTGTCAGCAGGCGGGGTGGCCTTGAGCTTCTCGGCTGCTCGCTTCTCCGGCTGTCATGACCTTTGACCGGTCCAGGCTGCTCACTGCACAGGGCCCCTGGCTAGTGCTGGGGGAGGGGCGTGTTATTTGTACCCTGCAAGTAAAATGCAGCTTTTTTTATTGCTTTACTTTGTGTTTTCTGCAGGGTGTTCTCCACTGCGCAGTAGAGACAGCAAAGCTCGGGCCACTGGCCTTTTACAAGGTTGGGCTGGGCGGGGCTGGGCGGGGCTGGGCGGGGCTGGGCGGGGGCTGGGGGGGGGGGCTGGGGGGCTGGGGCGGAGCCAGGGGCATGGTGGGAGGGGCCTGTGGCTGCAGGGGCGGGGTAGGGGCCAGCTGGGGCGGGGTCCGTACTGCTACCCCGACCCCCGACCCCCGTGGCTGTGGGGGCGGGGCCCTCTCTGGGCTCCCTTCACTTCCTGTTTTCTCTGTCTCGGCCCAGGGCCTCCTTCCTGCAGGCATCCGCCTCATGCCGCACACCGTGCTCACGTTTGTGTTTCTGGAACAGCTCCGCAAACACTTCGGCATCAAAGTGCTTTCCTGATGGGCCGGGGAGCGGGCTGAGCGCGGCCCCGGTGCCCTCCTCCCTCCTCCCGGGCTGGGACCTCCACCCTGGCCTTCCCCAGCAGGCTCCTGCCCACACCTGGGCCTGGGCTCGTTCCAGTGAGCTTGTCCTCTCCGCCTCCTGCCTGCCCACCCCAGGCTCTCCCCACCTGGTATTCCGGCGGCCCCGCTCCCGCACACTAATGACTCAGAGGGGAGGTGTCCGGGCCCTGGGTTCTGTTTGCTCTCCTCCCTGAGTAGTCGGTTAACACAAGGTGGGCTGTCCAGACTTTCTAGAGTCTGGGGCCCTCAGCACCATCTTCCAGCAGCTTCCATCAAGGAGCTGGGTGGCCGCGGAGAGGGGTGCAGACCCCCAGCATGGCTCACCAAACTAGGTGTGTCCACGTGCCCTTTTATTTCTGGAGAGGGACCATAGCTTTTCTGACATTCTCAAAGGTAGCTGTGCCCCTGGAGCTCCCGGGCCCCGGGCAGACGGCACCATGCAGAATCAGCCTGCCCAGGAGGGAGGGTGATCACATGGCCCGCGGGCACCAGGTCCAGCCAGCCCCCTGCTGCTTCAACAAGTAGTTTTGCCAAAAGCTCTCAAAGCCAGGAGCCTGCTGCTGCTTCAGGGAGCGTGGGGTACACATGGCGTCCCCGCCTCCCACAGCTCCCAGGCAGAGGCAGGCTGCAGGGTGTCCTCGGGCCTGCTCCGTGTGGATGGTGGCGTCTGCCCACGGCCAAGACCCAGATGCCCGCGCCTGAGTTCTGCTGCCAGAGCAGCCCGACCCCCCAACCCCAGCAGGGGTGCTCTGCAGGGGTGTTAATAAAGGACCGTGAAGTGCTCCACGTCTGGCATCTGCGTGTCGGCTGCTGTGCTGTCCGAGGGCCACAGGACCTGCTCTGCACCCTCTGAGGAGGGCTGTCCCATTCTGGGGGGCAAGGTTGAGGGTCCAGAGGGAGAAAGAAGCCCCAGCCCTGACCGGATACGTTGGGGTGGACTGTGGGCAGAGGAACTGGGGGGGGGCAAAATCAGGGGAGGAGAGGGGACGGGGTGGGCAAGATGTGCACGTTGGGGGTCTGGATCCAAGTTACCATGGACCCCTGAGCCCCCCTTCTCAGCAGGCACCTGGGCGCTACAAGACGCCCCCGCCCCCCGCTTTGAGAGTCCCCTCTCGGCTGTGGGGGGAGCCCTTGGGGTCAGAGTCCTGGGCTCTTGGGCCCTGGCCCGTAGTCTGGCAAGCCCAGGAGGGGGCTGGGCAGACCCTTGGACAGACAGGGCAGGAGCTGCTGTGGGGGCCACCCTGAGGCGGGGGCCACCCTGAAACAGACGCTGCCCAGGGCCCGCTGCTGACGCTCTGGTTCTGGAGCATTTCAGGTGCACAGCAACATAAGGGGTTAGGCAGCGGTGAAGGCTGCCCGGCTCGGAACTAAAACCCGCTAAATCTGGATAAGCTGCTGCTGCAGCAAGCCCACACCCAGGTGTTCCCTCAGCTCCAGCAGGGAGCACGCACCGGCCCCGCCCCCTGCATTATTTGGAAGCAAATTCCAGGTTTGGGGTCATTTATAGATAAATACTTAGGCACGTGTATCTAAAAATAGTCTTTTAGGGGCACCTAGGTGGCTCCTCGGGTTGAGTGACTCTTGGTCGCGGCTCAGGTCATGATCTCAGGGTCGTGGGATCAAGCCCCACATCAGGCTCTGTGCTCAGCACAGAGTCGGCTTGAGATTCTATCTCAAATAAATCCTTAAAAATAGTCTTTCAAAAAATGTGAACATGACTCCAGCAGTAAATCATTATATGTAGAAACAGTAACGGTCCATCTTTCCTGTCCTCAAATTGACGCAATTGCACTTTGAGAGCTACGTTCCTGTGAACCAGTCCAGGCCTGGGGTGTCTCCCTCCCGTCCTCTCCTGTTCCTGGGTCCTGCCGCCTCCTCTCAAATTTGGCCCCTTTGCCCCTGAATTTCCTAAAACCGGATCTGGATCCAGGTCCCATTTCTGAGCAAAGGACTTGGTGTGGGGCATGGTTCCTGCGTCATTGCCAGGGTCTCAGGACCTGGCCAGGTTTGGGGATGGGCACAAAGCAGCCGTGCACCGGGGATCTCAGAAGGTGAAGTGAGGCCTCCGGGGTCGTGGAGCTGGCAGGGGGGGGCGGGCCGCGGGGGCAGGCACCAAAGAGGGTCCTGGCCAGACCCAACGCTGGCGGTTTGGGCTTGCACACAACTCCCCGTGCCCGGGTCAGAACCCCCACTGAGACAACTAGAACCACAGCCCAATGCTAAAACAGGACGGGTAGGGGTGAATAAAGCCAGGGGGAAGGCTGTGGCTGCCCTCAGACCCCAGACACACAGAGGCAGATGTGGGCCACGGAGGGGCGTGTTCTCCTTGAAGCTGTTTCGGGTTTCGGGGCAAGCAATCCTCTTACTACGTTCATGTGCCCCGGGCAGTGCGGGGCCTCTCACCAGCCTCCGTTCTGCCCGTCCCTCCCAGGACCTAGGGGAGAAAGTGCCCCAACTGGTTTGGCAGGGACCAGCCTGGCCGGGACCACGGTGGTGCAGCTGGGTGCAGCGGGTGCGGTGGGAGGGGCGCTAGCTTTCCCGGCGCAGGGACGCCACGGGCGGCAGGCAGAGCCTCTACGGGCGGCGGCTTCCTGGAGCCAGTGCTCGGGGTGGAAGGACGGCGGGAGAGGCCTGGCCAGTCCAGGGCCCCCATGTTCTTCCTCTGTGGGCACTCAAAGCCAGCCTGAGAGCGCAAGCAGCAAGCAACGCGCCCGGCCGGCCCCCAGCCTTCAGCCCCGGGGGCCAGCGCCAGCACCTGCAGTCCCCGGGCCCAGGGCCCAGCATTCCGCCGTCGGCCCGGCCTTTTTTTCTTAAAGAAACACTTCATACTTTGCAAAAAGTTACATGCCAAGTATTTGTTGTCAAGAAATTTCAACAAAGGGGCCCAGACCACTCACTGGGAAAGGACATTGCCTCAACAAGCGGTGCTGGGCACCTGGACGTCCGCATGCTGCGGGCTGACGCCGGACCCGCACCTCACACGGACACAAAACTCACCTGGCAATGGATCCTACACCTGGATGTCAGAGCTGAGACCGTAACCCTTGCAGGAAGGCACGAAAACAGCCCCCCTGGGAACCCCGAGCTCCTCCGGCAGAGACTGGAGGGCAGGCAGGGGGCCTCGGCGGTGGTCATGGGGGGCGGCAGGTGCAGCCCGTATGATGGATCAGGGCCGCACGGGCTGTCTCTGGCTGCTCCTGGGGGGCGGGGGCTGGGGCACAGAGGACGGAAGCTGGCGGTTACCGGCCCAGGGTGGGCCAATTGCTACAGCAGCTAAGAAACATGTGTCCACACAGACCCTTGGGCAGGAACGACCCCAAGTCCACCACCTGCTGACAGGGCCACCAGAATGTGGCATGTCTGCAGGACACAGGATTGCTAGGCCATAAAAAAGAAATGAACATCAAGACAGCTGTCAGAAGGCAGGCGTGCTCCCGCCCACACTGAGGACTGGTGAGGTCTCGCTTCCCCTGCACCCACCACCCTCCCCCCCACACCCCCACTGCGGCGCCGGCTCGCAGCAGACTCTTCTTCCCCCACCAGTGCTGCTGGTGATCCGGGCCAGGAAGCCGCCTGTTAAAACGGGACCAACAACATGCGAGAAACATTAATGTGTCTGTTTCATATTTTGCTTAGAAGGGAAATAACTGAACTTTGAAAAGAGAATTTCTTTTAAAGATTTTAAGTCCTCTCTACACCAAACATGGGGCTTGAACCCACCACCCTGAGATGGAGGGGCACTCGCTCTTTGGACTGAGCCAGCCGGGGGCCCCTGCAAAGAGAATCTGATTGCAGGATCACATTAAGGGATGGGTGCCGGCCACATGCGAGCCGTGTCTGACGGCTGTACTGGTGTGGGTGCTGGGACGGGAGGGGACCGCTTGTGGCCAGCACACTCAGAAGCGCCCATCCCGAGCCGGCCCTTCCTGGAATTCAGGATCCTTGAATGAGGCTGGTGTCGTCCGGGGCCCTTGGGGACAAGGGTGGATCCCTGAAAGCAGCCCAAAGGCATGCAGAGGGCCCGGCCGGCCCTCGCAAATGACCCCGGGGCCCTGGCTCATCAGACTCTTCTTTCCGCTCCCTCCAACTGGGGTGAGTTCATGTGTCTATTTATAAATAGTTGGGTTTTTTTAAGTTACCCGCAGACCACAACACAAACTTGCAGGGTAGGGAAGGCTTTTCTTGGAACAGTACACCTCCCTCCAACCAGACCCTCCCCAGAAACAACCCCGGCCCCCAGACCCGGGTATTTCCTCCCCTTTACTGGGCCGTGACAGCAGAACAGCAAGACAGAAGCGCGGTGGGGAAACCACTCGTCAGGGACGCATTTTCCGTAAGCGATGTTCGCTCCTGAAAGATGATGGAAAACAGGGGAAAGTGGAGTCCTGTGCTGCTGCTTCTCCCCTCCCCC